CTAGACAAGTTTATTCCAAAGCAGTAGTGAACTTCCACAGAGAGGAGGCGTAACACAGCCAGAAAGAAATGTCAATGTTTGTAGTAGCCGTTAAAAGCTTTCTTTAAATGTGGACTGTTAAAAATCCAGTTTGTGGTCTCAGAAACATCCCCCACAGCACATGCAAAAAGCAACCCATCAAGTAGAAAAACTGGGCAGTCTTCCCACCCAGGTTCTTTCTTCCTGACCTTTTAGAAATACTACTTGAAATCTGGGTTCAAGTTTGATGTTCCTATGCCTGATGGCAACACTGGCAACCAGGTATGAGATTTATCCCAATTGACATAACACAGCACTTACCTTGAGAGTGAACTTGGTGTACTAGCAACTGGACTGGCTTAGCTAGCAGGAGACCTGGATTTTAGACTCTACTCTGGCACTAACCGTAAGGTAAGGTCAAATCACTTAGCCCACCATATATCTTCATTTCTTAACCTGGAAACAGTTCTATTTACGGGCAGTTTAAAATAGAGTCATCAGAGTCATGTTAATATCTGTAGCCTGTCTTGGTTAAGGTAAAAATGCATTGGACTAATCCATGACAGTTTTCATTACTATGAAACAATTTTGCTTCTCTTCCTTTGAAATATGTAATAGTGTGATAGACCAAGGAATACATATTTGGTCTTCCTGGTTCCTGACAAAGAGCTTCTACAACCCTTGGAATTTCCTAAGAGATGGGGGAAAAAGGATCATCTTTTGTTATTCATAATAAGCCCCTTTCAGCCATACCAGAGTTCATGCTAATGAGGTGACTCTTGGTTAGCCCCTAGATAGCTTCAAAATGGGGGCTGATTACAACATCGTAAATCAACTATACTCCAATATAAAAAAAAAAAAAAAGAATAGGGGATGATTGTTAGAAGAACAAACCAAGTGATCAAAAGGTTGGAACTTTCAGCCCTACGCCTGCCCTCTGGGAGGGGAGAGGGTCCGAAGACTGAGTTAATCACCAATGGCCGAGGATTTCATCAATCATGCCTATGTAACGGGAGCTCCATAAACATCCGAAAGGGTGAGGTTTGGAGAGCTTTGGGGTTGGTGAATATATCATAGTGCTGGGGAGACTGCATGGAAGCTGCTCCCACCCATCTCCACAACAATTTGCCCTATGCTTCCCTTCTATCTGGTTGTTCCTGAGTTGTATCCCTTTTAATAAACCGGTAATAGTAAGTAAACTCTTCCTGAATTCTGTGAGCTCTTCTAGCAACTTATCAACCCTGAGGGGTGGGACTGTGGGACCTGCAAGTTTATAGCCTGGAGGTCAAAAGCACAGGGCACCCAGATTTGTGATTGATATCTGAAGTGGGGTGGGGAGAGGAGGGATAAGCTTATGGAACTGAGCCCTTTACCTGTGGGATCTGTGCTAACTCTGGGTAGTGTCAACATTGTATTAAATTACAGGACACCCAGTTGGTGTCTGCATAGCAATGAAGAATTGCTTGGTCTGGAAAACCCTGGCATTTGGTGTCAGAAGTGTTGCAAGTAGAAACAGATCATAGTATAGGCTAAGATAGCTGTGGATACCTTAATGAATTCATTACACATTAATATAAGTGCATAAAGATACTATAAGCTGGAAAAAAACAGTTCACGTTCAGTTATTTAAATACGAGACGGCAAACCATCAGTGCCAGATACAGTCCCAAATAAATAATTTGTTTAAGTCATAAACAATAAAAGTTGTACACAACTAAATATTTTCTAGTATACTTACATTATGGCATAAAGCAAGAACCCCTAGAATTATTGTGGGAATGTCTAGACTTAGGCAACCACCCTGTTGCTCCTTATCCTGTCTCCCCCTGCATGACTCAGTTCATCGGGATGGTCAGACTCTTTTAAAAATATCTTCTTCAACATCCCAGGATACATTGCCTAAGATCACCATCTTCACAAAAGCACCACCATATTCAAGAAGACCTCTTAATTAGGGCAGCATGGTGAAGGGGAATAAGCCAAAGCATTAGAATCTGATAGACCTAGCCTGGAACCAGCCTCTTGCCACATATGACCCTGGACGAGCTATTTAATTTGTCCGACTTTCAGGTTTCTCGGATAAAATAGGAATAATAATAAATACAAAGTTGGGTTGTTGTGGAAATTAGAAATAAGGTATAGATGATGCTTGGCATAGTTCTAAGTTCAATAAATGTTAGCTACATATAATATTTATACAACTTGATATTTGCTTATAGACATACATATACAGTTACTCCGTGAGTATTCATTTCTTTCTCCAACTATACTACAAGTTCAATGAGCACAAAATCTTTGCAGAGTACTGCTTGTGAATGGTTCACAATATAGTAGACCAGTTGGTATATGGTAGTGTAAAATCTATTTTCATACCCCTAGAATCACAGGTACATTAAGAGCTCCCAATAGCCATAAGAGGAAGAAATAAGTTTGTTTTGATTGCAAAGAAAACAGTGGCCATCAGACTACCGTTGTGACTGAGGAAGGTCTGGGTGAAGGGTTCCTGAGTGGCTGACCCCTGAAGGGAGTGTGGGTATCCACAGAATGGGAGAATGAAAACCCTGGAAGGAGGTCCCAGGCTGGACAGAGCTGTGAAGAGAGTTGGAGGTTTTGGGAAAATGGTGGATTATGGATGATTAGAGACAGATTTATATGTCCCAGGCTTTTGAGTGAAGTTATGGAAATTGAGAAGCATGAGGAGGTATTAGAGGAGAAGCAGCCCAGAGGCCTGAGTTGGCATTTGCTTGGCTCAGAGAAGAGCAACTTTCACGCAGAAGTAAGACCTGGACAGAAGTAACTGAACTTCAGTGTCCAAGAAAAGTACAGGAATGAGCTGTGGCCTGGTACTAGCACTGAGGGTTTTGAAAAAAAAATTTTTGTAAGTATGACAATATAATTCTCAAAAAAAGTATATTATTTGAACTTTTTCTGTTTTACATTAAGGACAGATGATTTTATACCTCTACAAAGCATTTCTGTCAAAAACCTAAACTGAGAAATTGCTAGAGATTATAGGATTGAATTTATACACCATGTTGATGTTTTACCTAAACAATCACAACAACCACCTTTAAACATCCCTAAGATATATGGCAGGAGCCGTCAGACAGAGGAATGACACTTCTTTGATATTAACAGAAAGAACATGGTCGCAGAGGTAGGAGATGTGTAGTTACCAAATTAATTTAATTTTCAATTCAACAAAGCCCCTGAGAGTTAAGGGACCTTTCTTAAGCCTGGATATGAAAGTTATCTTCATATGACAATTGGTTGCTTAAAGCTCAAAAGGAAGAGAATGTGAAGCAATAAACACAGCTCTTTCTGTCAGTATCAACAGGGCTGCCTGTTTCTAAAGTATCTAAAGAGGGACCCACTTCCCAACAAAAATGTCTTTCGGGACCAGTAGAGCAGCGATGGGGACTGGGCCTATTTTTCCAAGTTCTTTTCTTTTTTTTTTTTTATTTTTTTTGCGGTACGCGGGCCTCTCACTGTTGTGGCCTCTCCCGTTTCGGAGCACAGGCTCCAGACGCGCAGGCTCAGCGGCCATGGTTCATGGGCCCAGCCGCTCCGCGGCATGTGGGATCTTCCCGGACCGAGGCACGAACCCGTGTCCCCTGCATCAGCAGGCGGACTCTCAACCACTGCACCAGGGAAGCCCCCAAGTTGTTTTCTGAGTTCTAATTGACTTGGAAGACTCCAGAATTAGAATAAGTAAAATAGCAACAATCTCTTGTAAGCTGCCTAAGAAGATACCTACCTGTGTATATACCTGCATCTTTAAATTTTCCTCCTAAGAGCTTTAAGATATGAAAGGACATCTGGAATATTTATAATGATATCTTAAGGGCTCTTTTATTAAAAAAAAAAAAGTTTAAACGTTTTACTCTGAGATTTGTCTTTCTTTCAGCTTTCCATATTTGAGGAGGCAGGCTTATCGTCGGTCCTACAGATCAACCATGGCGCCAGTACCAAATGGTAGTAGACATCAGAATTGTCTCAGAAGAAGGCAGAAACCTCACCTCTTGGGAAATGCCTTTTTAAAGCTCAAATCAATTTGAGTGGCAGAGGTATAAATGAACAGGGAAAGGGGACCAAAACTAACTGTAAAAACATTCTACCATTGTACCCATACATTGCATGATGTACATAAAATGCTTACTACATAACTCTCTCTTGGTATAACCAATTTTTTTTGTTACTTCAGCTCTTATATTACCTTGAACGTGTACCCACACACACTTTTTCTTATGTTGCTCACTTGCTATTCTCCTAAATTTATCCCAACTATTTAGTTAAGGAATCTCTGATCTTCTGCAGCGGGTGAGGAGAGGCACAAAGCTAGCCACACAGTCTCAAAGCTTATTGGAGAACCTTCTGCTTAGGGAAAAACCCTATTTAAAATAAATATCCTATTTGTTTTGTTTTGTCTGGGTAGGTAAACATAACTCTTAGAGCTGAAAACACAAGGTTTGTGGAGATTAAATAGACCCTTTTCAAATTTTAGCTGGGGCTTTATGAAGGGACTAAACCTAAGCTTTCTCTATATCTGGTTGTTTACCTTCTTTAAAACGACCAGGGCAGGCTGCTTCCTGCAACCTAAAAAGGCTAAATTTACTTTGCCTATTTTGTGTATTAGAAAAGTGGCAGAGAAAGATTCAGAGACTTGCTCCTGGTCACACAGACCATAAAAGACAGAGCCAGACTTTCTGTTGAGTGTTCTTTACCACAATAAACAGACATTTATATTTTCTTTCTTCTGAAGACTCTTAAGAAGCATCAATGACAATAAGGCTTAATTCAGTCTCCCTACCTTAAAGAGGCAACACTCTATTGCCTTTGAAACAGAATGTTCTGTGGCAAAGAACCTGGAAATGGAGGCTTACAGACCCCATGGGGACAGAACAAGGCAGAAAGGTTTCCCTCACACACTTATATGTTCAATGCCCTAGACTGAAGGATGCCATCAGTTCAAAGTCACTTACCCAAATCTGAAGCTTGATTCTCTTTTCATTTTTGAATACAGTTTTGACTTTGAAATCAATCCCAACTGTGCTGACGAATGCAGATGTAAAGGAGTCATCCGCGTAACGGAACAGAAAAGATGTTTTCCCCACACTGCTATTGCCAATGATGAGCAATTTGAACATGTAGTCAAAGTTCTGATCAGAGGAGTCTTTCTGGCCATACCTGGCATCTTGGGCAGAGGCCATCTGTGGTAAAACAAAACAAAACAAAACAAAAGAGGTGTGGATCAGTCTCCCATTTGCTATGAAGCTAGCAGCACACTCATTATTGGTCTTGCCAGAAACAGATGTCAGACCACTCAGGAGACAAGTTGAGAGAGTTCCCCAGCCTTCCTCTGATGCTGGTATCCATGGCAATAATTCCCTGCTGGAAGACAGAAAAGCAAACCTTACGGCTCTTTCCAGCTGTGTTGGTGTGTGTCACTGCTCAGCATTCAGAACGAATCAAAGACACAAAAGGAGATGTAACATGAAAAGCAAAGATATGAGGAGCTGGCCAGGGCATGTGGATTCTGAAAGTTTGTAATTCCAGTGATGGCGACACCAAGGTGGCTGAACAGCAGGGTGTTTCTTCCTGAGTCATCTAAATTATTAGAGTCTCTCTTATTTTCTAGGGAAGCACTCCCAAAGCCTATCTCTATTTCATCTATTTATATCACTTTAAATCAACATCCTAACATATATGACCAATCTCTTTCAAATAATGATAATGACAAATACATACGGTTCAAATAACGTGCCAGGAACTGTTAACTTACTTAACCCTCACCACACCCTATAGGTGGGTACCTTTATTATTTACATATTAAAAGGAGACAATTAAGGCTCAGAGATACTAAGTAATTTGCTCAATTTCACATACTTTGTAAGTAGTAGAGGCGGGTTTCAAATCAGGCGGTGTGGTGCCAGGGCTCATGTTCTTAATGCCTCCTACTCCCTACCCCCCAGCCCCGGTTCCCAGTGAGAACTAGGGAAATATGTACACGTGCTCTAAAGTTGAAGTGGGAAATATTCATTGTGAGATTCATTAATGAAGGTCCCTACCTGGGTTCAAACCTCGGCTCCACCACCTACTGGTTGTGGAACTTTTGCTTTTTTATTTTAAATCGGTGTAGCTCAGTTTCCTCTCTTCCGTGAAATGGAAAAAATTATTACCCAACTTGAAACACTTGTGAAAATAATAATAGATGATAGAAATAGAAAATAATAGATGATATATCTGTATAGCAGATATATAAAGTGCCTAGCAAAGAATAGAGAATAATCTATGCTCTGTAAATGCTCTAGATGGATTTTTCCTCATCTTTTTTGATGATCTTTTTCACATCTATCAAAAGTGCTGCAGCATTACTCTAAGTACCGTTTGGCTCCATATAGAAAAGAAGCATTTAGAACGGTGGATCCCAGTGATTAGTGCATTTACCGGGTCACCTTTTTGGATGCTATGAATTCTTTGCCAATTGCTGTGCTGCCCAATACAGTAGCCACTAATCACATATGCCTGTTTATATTTAAACTAAGTAAAATTAAAAATTCAGTGCCTCACTCACACTAGCCATATTTCAAGAGCACAAGAGCCACATGGGGCTTGTGGCTATGACACTGGACAGCGCAGGTTCAGGACACTGTCATAACTGCAGAAAGTCCTATTACTCAGTGCTAGGCTAGACAGTCTTTTTTCATTTCTTATAAAATCTGATTAATAATTACATATTTCTCTTGGAGGTATGGCAAAGAGAAAAGCCCCAGAAGATAGCGGAATTCTAGAAACAGTATATAGTGCCTAGTCTTATCTAAGACCACATTGGTTGCTGAAATCAGGGGTGTGTGTGTGTGTGTGTGTGTGTGTGTGTGTAAGACAACTGAGGGAAAAAGAAAAGGGGAGATGGGGTGATAACGTATTCCCTTTCTACAAATACTCATTGCCAGTAGGAGAACACAATAATATGAGCAAGAATAAAGGCAAAAAGAAAATCTGTATATATTATGAAATTTAAGGGCAATAAACATTCTGACTTCACTTCATTTCTTATTAAATATAAGTTTAAGCATTTCTCTTTTTAAGTCCATGTAACCACATTGCTGTCTTCAGTAAATATACCTTGTAATGATTGTCTGCCAGTGGGAAAAACTGAGCCAGTAAAACAGGCAGATATCATCATTTTCCTTTCTGGCCCTGGAGTCTGCATGCTAAGGTAAACTTCCCCCAACACAAGCAGCCCACCAAGAACAAAAATAGGATTATAATTCTTGACTTTCAGTTTGAACAATGATGTCTTGCTCTGATGACTTCTGACACCCCAGAAAGCCAGGTAACTATTTCATTTGACACTCCTATTCCCACAGACATAAGCCTTTCACCAATTAAGATCCCCCCCTTATGGAGGTGCTAAGTTCAACCAGGCCTGCAAATGACCTTTGTTAGGAAGATCTTTTACCATCTTTTATATGAAGCAGCCCAGACACTACATTCTGGATTAAGCATGTTCAGTTAAAAGCCACAGTTAGAAAACAGACTCTGCAAGTTTCCTAGAGCTGCTCATTTTCTCAGCCTGACAGCCTACCATTACCCTGAGGTGGGACTCTGAGTCCTGTGGATTTCTAGGCTTCCTTGAAAGAATACGTGATAAAGAAAGCCGCTATCAATCACAAGTCCTAGTCCAAAATTAGACCAACTCCAAAAGCTGCAGAAATATAGACATCATCATTGTATGTACTTTTAAAAGGTAATTGTAGAGATTTAGATAGAGAAAACCATACTGGAGTTTTCTCCAGCATGAGAAATAGAAGATGTTCAATTTTAAGGACAGATTATACCAGCTGTATTAGCAGCAAAGAAGGTGGTAGGAGCACCGAGGATGATGGGGCATGAGGCTGGTGGATTTGTGGATCTAGATCCTCCAAGGGATTAATTAGAAGAGTTTGCTAACCTGCTATTCTTGAAGATGGTGTGTGGTTTCTTTAAATTATTTCCTGATTTATATCCCCAAAAGTATTCACAGAGAGCCCCAAAGATGTGTATTCAGAACATATGTGTTTCATAAACTTTAGAATAATGAAATAAATCCTGGCTTAGAGAATGGAGAAGTAGACTGCCTGAATCTTGCTGAGAATAGAAATGAAGCAATTTTTATTTACAAAACAGAAATAGAATTACAGATGTAGAAAACAATCTTATGGTTACCGGGGGCGGGGGTAAATTGGGAGATTGGGATTGACATATACACACTACTATATATAAAATAGATAACTAATAAGGACCTACTGTATAGCACAGGGAACTCTACTCAATACTATGTAATGACCTATATGGGAAAAGAGTCTAAAAGAGTGTATATATGTATATGTATAACTGATTCACTGTGCTGTACACCTGAAACTAACACAATATTGTAAATCAATTATACTCCAATTAAAAAAAAAGATGAAGCAATTTGACAGCATATGAATGTCAAAGGAACATATAGACAGTCACTATGTAAATTTACTAACAGTTCTAAATACTAAGTCATGTGAATGTCTCCAAAATTTTCATGGGAAGATATGAAAACAGGAGTGGGCATGAAGGAACCTCCCAGAGAGCAAACAGGATTTTATAAAACATACATAAGAAACCCTTTAAATTGCATTAATCTTGAATTAATTTAAAAAAAAAGAATCATAGAGTGGGAAAGACTCTTCAGCGAAGCCCTCCTTCCTACTCATCCCCAAGTGTCCCTCTTGTTATTGGTATTCTAGCCCAGCCCTTCAAAGCGAGTGACAGAAAGTTTGCTAGGCTGTGAAGCAGCCTATTTCATTGCTGAACAACTGCAATTGTTATAAATTTCTTCCTTAGATTTGAGTTAAAATCTACTTCCCTGTAGCTTCTGTCCATGTGCTCCAGATTCTGCCTATCAATCAAAAGAGTTAATTCCTTTCCCAATCACATCTCCATAAGCTTTCTCTCCTCCTGCCTGGATAATCTCAACTGCTTTAGCCCCTTTCTCCACCCAGGACATGTCCGAAAAATCCCACACGTCTTCTAGGTTAAAGGTGACATCTCTGCAGATGTCAAAGTCCCATGCATGGTTCCCACAATTGGTCACAATATTCCAGATATTTATCTGGTCATTGCAGAGTGAAATGAGATTCTCATATCCTATCACATCTGACTTCACAATAAAGTCTCCTCAAATGCTCAGCACTTTTTTCACATTCACTGTTATAGACATAGGTCTCCGCTAACCCCATTCTATGCCTCGGCAATTTATTTTTTTTAATGGAAGTGTCAACCTTTATTATGTACTCTATTACATTTCCTTTTGTTTGTTTTGATTTACAATTCCATTCTGTTTTGATAACGTTTTGTCCTTTCATCAAAAATATTAGTTATCCCTTCCAGATTTGTCTCATTCCTAAGTTTGATCAGTATGCATTTCATATCCTCACTTAAGATGCTAATCAAAATGCTAATCAGTTTGTAGACAAATCACAATGAAATTTTTTTTTTACCTTGCTGAATACATAAATCTATGGATGAACTCTACAATATGTCATTAAGGAACTCAGCAAGTTTGAAGTAAATCCTTAACCTCTGGGAGTTGGTGCCTTGCAAAGCCACTGTGCTATCCCTCTAGGTGTGCCTTGGTTCAGTAGCAGGTGAACAGATCATAGATTTAATTGATGTGTCATTTTTAATTCCAATTCTAGTCTCCCCAGAAGTCCTACTGACCAGGGACCAAGCAGATTACCTTTGACTAACACACGTAACCATAGCCTTCTTCAGAATTTTTGACATTAGCTTTTCCAAATAAATGAGAAAAGCAAATTATTTGCAGGGATTCCCTTGGGTCTTAAGAATCTAAACTATACTAAGCCATCTGTGCATCTGATGAGAAAAACAAAAAGAAGTCATTTTAAATGTACTATGTTCCATCTACTATAACTGATAACATCCTGAGGGTCAGTGGGAAGAAGAACGAGGGTAAATTATCCAGAAAATGAAATGCAATTCTTTGAAATTGGAAGAGTGAAAGTAAGGATGGGACATATGTATGGGAAGTGTGGAAATATGTAAAGTAGTTTCAAATCTCAATTGTTGTTACCTAGGGGAAAAGAAAAGAAAAAGCTAATAAGAGGAGTTATTCCTGAGAGCTCCAAAGTAAAGACTAACTTTGAAAACCAAGAAGGAAAATATTAAAAGATAG